CGTCGGGCACCGCAAGAACCTACCCATAAGTAAGGGTAACTCAATGACACGCTCTACTAGTGTTGCTCTTCGCGGCTCCTACGGGGTGAGCACAATCCCCCTCACAACCATTTCATATCATCACATGACCGTATTGGTTCATCGATCTTGATTTCACTTGCTCTTCACCGTTGCTTCGGTCCATCGGCGCTAAGTCATCACTCAACTTACCCTTCACACTTGCAACCGGTCCATCGAGCCAAGCCTTGTCTTGATCTTCTCCACCTTAGTCACATGACTCAATGTCATGTCTCATATGCAATGAGCTCCTTCATCACATATGTGAGCCTTGCAACAAATTCAAGCCATCTTCACCATCATGGCAAGAGTTGATCATACAAGTATACCTGTGGACTAATCACCTGTGTATCTCACATTAAACACAATTAGTCCACCTAGGTTGTCACTCAATTACCAAGATATCCAATGGAGGGAGTACCGTAGATATCTTGACTCATCCTGGACACACTCCCACCGAACGCCCAAGCAGAACAGCACATCAGAAAATGCCATCATGCGACCCTAGCTTCAGTTGCCGGCCCGCCTGCCCACACCTGCCGTTGCACCGTTCGCTGTTGCACGTGCACGTCCATCCCCATCCCGCCTCGTCCACCTCGCCCCGCGCCCGTCTGAAAGGTCCTAATATGGCTAGAGGGGGGGGTGAATAGCCTATTTAAAAATCTATAAATCAACTAGAACAATTTGATTAGTATAACAAATAGCGTATTGCAAACTTGCTCTAGCTCTACAAGGGTTGCAAGCCACCTATCCAACAATTCTAGTTGCAATGATTACTTAGGCACACAAACTTGCTATGTAATTACCCACTAAAAGCTCTCAATCTTGTTACTCTAAAGAGCTCAACTAGATGAATGTAAATAATAAAGCAAGCTCTCAATTCTAATTACACTAAAGAGCTTGTATCAACTAGTTTGCAAGAATGTAAATAAGTGAGTAGGGTGATTATACCGATGTGTAGGGGATGAACCAATCACAAGATGAATATATAGCCAATCACCGAGAGAATGCCAAAGACAAGAGACAATCTATTTTCTCCCAAGGTTCACGTGCTTGCCAACACGCTACGTCCCCGTTGTGTCGACCAACACTTGGTGGTTCGGCGGCTAAGAGGTGTTTCACAAACCTCGTCCACACGATAGGACACCGCAAGAACCGACCCACAAGTGAGGTAACTCAATGACATGCGCAATTTACTAGAGTTACCTTTTGGCACTCCGCCGGGGAAGGTACAACTCCCCTTACAATCACCGGAGATGGCCACGAACAATCACCAACTCGTGCCAATCCTCCACCACTGCTCCAACCGTCTAGGTGGTGGCAACCACCAAGAGAAACAAGCAAAATCCGTAGCGCAACACGAATACCAAGTGCCTCTAGATGCAATCACTCAAGCAACACACATGGATTCTCTCCCAATCTCACAATGATGATGGATCAATGATGGAGATGAGTGGGAGGACTTTGGCTAAGCTCACAAGGTTGCAATGTCAATGAAAATGTGCAAGAGATAGCCCTTGAGCCGGCCATGGGGCTATAAATAGAGCCCCAATCAAATAGAGCCGTTATACCCCTTCACTGGGCAAATGTCGGGACGACCGGACGCTCAGGTCTGATCGACCGGATGCTGGACCTCAGCGTCCGATCGTGTGATGCACGCCACGTGTCCCCTCTTTCAAATGCTGTTCACTGGATCTCAACGGTCATCTGTCGACCAGATGCTCCGGTAAAACTGACCGGACGCTGAAGCCCCAGCGTCCGGTCATTTCCAGTAAGCTCCCCGAGGCGTATTTCTTCGACCGGACGCGTCCGGTCCACCTTGACCGGACGCAGACCAGCGTCCGGTGCAGTACCCACGGTACAGTGCAGACCCGTCAATTTGACCGGACGCACGCTGCCAGGGTCCGGTGCTTTCAGACCCAGCGTCCGGTTAGTTGACCGACGCCAGCGTCTTCGCGATCAACTCGTTTTCACCTCTAACTTCTTCACCCTTGCTCCAATGTGCCAACCACAAGAATTTGCATCCGGCGCAATAGAAAATAGGCATTCCATTTTCCCGAAAGCGCCGAAAATGTGCCGACACTACCAAGTGTATCACCTTGTGCACAAGTGTTAGCATATTTTCACAAACATTTTCAAGGGTGTTAGCACTCCACTAGATCCTAAATGCATATGCAATGAGTTAGAGCATCTAGTGGCACTTTGATAACCGCATTCCGATACGAGTTACACCCCTCTTAATAGTATGGCTATCAATCCTAAATGTGATCACACTCTCTAAGTGTCTTGATCACCAAAATAAAATAGCTCCTATGGTTTATACCTTTGCCTTGAGCTTTTTGTTTTTCTCTTTCTTCTTTCCAAGTCCAAGCACTTGATCATCATCATGGTATCATCATCATCATGCTATGATCTTCATTTGCTTCATCACTTGGAGTGTGCTACCTATCTCATGATCACTTGATAAACTATGTTAGCACTTAGGGTTTCATCAATTCACCAAAACCAAACTAGAGCTTTCACCGTCGCTCCTTCCCCCAAACACCCTCCTCTCTCTCCGCGCGGGTGGGACCCATGAGCCGGGATGAGGACGAGCACACCTCGGCTCGCCACGCCCCTTCCCCCAGTGCCCGGGCCGTGCCCCCATGACTCTCTGAACATACCTCTAAAACACGAAACACTTGCAACATGAAACACTTGAATGCAACATACCTCTGAAGCAAATGAAACATTTGAAACATACACTTGCAACATGTATGTGAAACATATGTAACATCTAGATCGAACACTTGCAACTTGCAACATGAATACACCATGTATACCATGTGTTAAAAGGAACCTGGACACACTCCCACCGAACAGCCAAGAAGAACAGCACATCAGAAAACGCCATCGCGCGACCCCGGCTTCGGTTGCCGGCCCGCCTGCCCACACCTGCCATTGCACCGTTCGCTGCTGCACGTGCACGTCCATCCCCGTTTGCCTCGTCCCGCCTCGTCCACCTCGCCCCGCGCCCGTCGCTCCTTCCCCCTGACACCCTCCTCTCTCTCCGCGCGGGCGGGACCCATGAGCTGGGATGAGGACGAGCACACCTCGTCCACAGGACCCCAGGCGCGTCGCGTGCCCCATCTGCCGACCCTCGGCTCGCCACGCCCCTTCCCCCAGTGCCCCCATGACTCTCTGAACATACCTCTAAAACACGAAACACTTACAACATGAAACACTTGAATGCAACATACCTCTGAAGCAAATGAAACATTTAGAACATACACTTGCAACATGTGTGTAAAACATATGCAACATCTAGATCGAACACTTGCAACTTGCAACATGAATACACCATGTGTTAAAAGTAAGCATATAATACTATATGCCACCATGTAGACCAAGTACATATGCATTCATGCATGATGTCAAATGTTAAATTTTAATAGCTATCAAGCTCAAGCGTGGAAGATATTTCCTTGACAAACCACATATCAATGAGGCTGGTAATTTATTTTGTTATATTAGTACTCCATGAACAATTGATTAACACATGATTGAAAACTTGTGATAATAACTAATAAGATCAAAAGTTGAAAGCCACTATATAGATTCGTGATGACACATAAAAGGATACAACAGTAGCTTATTATGCAACTAGGTTTCAACTAAATACATATCGCACTAGAAATAAAAATAAGAGACCTTGGAAATTCTAACTAGAGGTCTGCAATTGAGCCTCCACATCAATTCTAGATGTTTCATCAATCATGAAAATTATTCCTTAATGACTCTACAACAAACTGTCTAAATCTATATTAGTATTCATGACACATAATTTATATAGATTTTTTATTTTAGATAAATTTTATTTTAACCAAAACATTTGACATATCTATATTGATAGTATAATTGTAAAACTTTATATTTTAGAATAAAGAAATATTAATACATATATGATTTTTTTGATAAGGAAATGCAAACATCTTGAGATCTTAAGAAATCGAGGAAGGTTAGTGGAGACCAAAGGTTGCTATCCTTTCCTGGTTCTTAATATTTCTTTGGAGTAGGTAGTGATCATAAGGCACAAATGTATTAATATGCTCTTAAGGTTAGCACTGATACCCATCTTAGATCTCACTTGAAGCTTTACCATTGACCTTGAACGATGTGATGTCGGTTTAAATGACCATTTATGTCATCGTTGTACTTAAGAGTGCAGTTTGTGACCTAAGTTACTTAGTTTTAACAAAACTAGAAGGATGCCCCCCCCCCCGGCGTTGCCACGGGTTTTTCTTAAATATAAAACTGTTATATACATAGCATTACTATATGGTATTCTATATATTGTGTATACACATGAATTTGACTTGCATGTTATTTTATTGTATCACATCTGGTAAAACATCGATAAGCTAATAGAAGAAAAACCAATAAAATATTTGATTACATTATAGAGGAATAGGTGATGAAACAAATAGCGTATGTAGATGACTTGTATGTTAATAGATTAAAGATTTAAAGTATCGCACATGATAAAGATGACGTGGACATGTTTTGTAATTAATAAGGGATGACATGGACTTCGTAGGAAATGATGTGCACACTTTGCATGAAGAGATAGAACATCTAGTGATGTCACTTAGTGGGGAATGATGTGGACACCTTGCATGAAGAGAAAAATCATCTAGTGGGATTTAGCTTTATAAGAGTATAGAGATACAAAAGGAGAGTTAATAAAGATGCAATAAGCACAAGAGTTCCAATTTAACCCAAGATCAAAAATATCTATAGCAACTAATAATATCAAGATTTTAAAATGAAAATCAAGATTCATAACGATATACGATTATGTCTTTCAATTTCGGAGTCTGTGTGGGAGCACTTTGTTAATGAATAGTGTTGTGCTAATTTGGCTGAATCTGATAATGTGCTTCTTGCATTTATGTGTTGACTAGCTACCTGTATGATTTCCCTTTCCTTGGAGATGACAGCACTATCACCGTGGATGACAACCGTGTCGATCCACTATACAAGCATGTTTTCCCACCGGAAGTGGCTGCTCAACTGTCCTTCATCGGATTGCCGTTGAAGGTCATTTTTTCTGCAAAATGTCGTCATTCCCCATCAGTTACACACATCCATGCGCACGCACAGGCACACGCACACGCTTTGTGGTGCTCTCTAAGATCTGAAACCTTACTTTGTTACAACCAGGCTATTCCTTTTCCACTAGTTGAACTCCAAAGTAAGTGGGTTGCTGGAGTTCTATCTGGATGGATCAAGCTTCCATCTAAAGACGAAATGATGGAAGATGTGAAAGCTTTTTATTCAAAACTACAAGCATGTGGATGGCCTAAGAGATACACACATAACTTATCAAAGTGTCAGGTAGATGTCTACGAATACTTGGTTATTAAGCTCTGTGACATGATTACTATCCTGAGTTATATTGACATTTCATAGTACATTTGAATTTTCGGTCATACACATGTTTTATATATGCAGTTTGAGTATGATGATTGGCTTGCTGAGCAATGTGGCCATCCACCAATCGAAGAATGGAGGAAGCAGATGTTCACTATTAATTTAAAGAACAAGACAGCTCGTCCTGAGAGTTTTCGTGATGAGTGGGATGACTATCATCTAGTGGCTGAAGAAAATGAAGATTTCAATAAATTCTTATAAAATCTTTTCCACTAATGTAAAGACCCTAAGAAGGCATTGTTCGGGCCTCTTGAGCTCTCCCTGTCAGAGAAAGACGAAGAGTACGCATCACTGGTAAAATTGAGCCTCGTTGGAGTGTCTAGTTGATTCGACCATCTCAAGTCTAGTACTCATATTGGAGCCTACCTCAAGGGTTAGTCCTAAGTTTGCGGGCTTTAGAGTTAGGGAGAGGAGCGGCACTTTTAGAACTTGCCTCAACGTGGATTAACTAATCGACAAGTCAATGAACCACGGAAAAACATTATGTGTCATCCTCTACTTTGTGGTTTGCATATCTCAACACTAGCTTCTCACTTATACTAATCTTGTGCTAGTATAGTTGCTCTTCTGCCAGTGTAATTGCTTACTAGTGTAGCTTGTAGTTAGATTTACCGTTTCCTCACTCGTATGTGTATAGGAGCTCCGTGTGCTCTCCCACTGGCTCAGCACCCTAGTTGGTTACTAGTTTACTCTTTTGTTAGGGTGCTAACAAACGATTAGAGGGGTGTAGTCATGGGTAGATCATTAGTTCACTACCGTAATTAAATTGGCTAGCCTTTGCAATTAAGTTTTAGAAATTACAATTCATCCCCCTCTAGTCGGCCACCTCGGTCCTACAAGGTATTTAAAGAGCGTGTTGCAAGGAGCTTAATGTAAAGTACGTATGGCCGATATGTGTGGATATTGCCTTTAGAACAGTATACGGACGATGTAATCTATTTGTATTGTACTTAGAACAGTTTGGTCTTAGGGTGTTTTTAGGCTAGAAAGCTTCTCTTAAAACAGGGCAGGATATGCTAGCGAACAAAATTGACTCGCTATGGGTTCACTAGGAAATCAGGCTAAGCCGGGTTGTAATGTTGGTTAAGGCGCCTTTGTCTAGTTCTGAGTAGGAACCAAAGATTTGTAAGGAATTTGAGTTGCAATCTATAAATGATCTACAAACTACATAAGACCAACCCTACCATTATATAAATATAAAAGGCCAATACTGATTTAGGGCACCCAATCGGTAAAAAACAAAATCAATCTACCATTTATTATCTTCAATTTCTACCTTTTTCAACCTTCATATTTGTTGTTCTTTAAACAACTCGGCAGTGTTTAAGGTAGCTTGCCAACCTTAGAACAACCCTAGCTAGGTGCGCCTTTTGACGGTAGGGCTGGGCACTTTTATACCGAGAACCAAGAATCTGAACCGAATCATGCTGAACTCAGCTGAATTGTTGGTTTCGACTTCGGCTTCGGTTCCTGATTCTACAAACCTCGGTTCTCGGCTATAGTTTCGGTTTTAACCCAAACCGAACCGAGGAACCGTTTAGACCGAGGAATGTGGCGACCACCAAACCAACACGGCAACACCCCGTCGACGCATCCCCGTCCCTGCGGTGGGTGCGTGGAGGAATGGCTAGAGGATGGCGGTGGGTGTGTGGAGGAGTGGCAAGAGGGCAGCAACGGTGCACGCAGGGGAGACGCTAGAAGGCGTTGGCGTTGGCGTGGCTCGTAGGTGGGAGGCACGACGCCCAGCGGCTCGGCTTGTCGGAGATGAGCGGCGGATCTGCATCTGGCATGCCGGCGCGAGCACGAGTAGAGCTGGGAGCACGACACCGGCGTCCCTGTTTGTTTTATGTTGAGTCTATTCTTCGGTCGATTCAGTTGTAACCGAAAAACTGTAGTATAAAACAAAAACCGAATAAGTTAGTTTCTAGTTCTGAAAACCGATCGGCTCTTGATTGTTGAAAACCGAAGTTTCTAGAAACCGATTAAACTAAACCGAACTTTCAGTTTAAATCAATTGCCCAGTCCTACCTGACAGGCTCCATCCCAAGACACATTCTTCGGCTTTCCCAGCGACTGAAAATACTGGGTTGGCTGGGTTTTACTGAGTTTATTGCGAGGTGATTATCAAGCAATTGGTGCATGCGCACCTGTGGTGTGTGTCCAATCTTTACATCGACATCTAGTTAATTTGTTACATATAATTTTTGAATCATTGGGAGTAGCTAGCATGCAAATGATTGGATGGAAGCAAAAGAGGAGGAAAATCTACCTAATTCCGAGCACTAAGGCAAGTATGACTTGTACATCACCAGGACATGCAGATCTTTGACTTTGTTTCAAATGACAATTTGCTGGTTTCATAACAGGTCGTGGCTCATCATCAGTGCTACATTTGCCAAAAATGTATTCTAGCAGGCACATGGTCTTCAGAAAACAGAATCGTCAGTGCCACTTTCTGTTGAGATGTGTTCTTGCAATTGACAATCCTATACAAATACAAATTTAAAATGACTATCAATTGTGTCCCACAGTAGGTTCGTTCATAAGGAGCTGATATATGCTAGTTTCTGTTATTAGAATTGTTCCTTGTGGAACACAAATCTCGTGAATGTTCTCGCGTTCACTTTATGGCAAAGGTTCTCCAGCTGTCTTCCCAAATCGTCCGGACCACAGTAGAAAACCCCTGTCAATGCATTCAGGCTCAATTTAGGAGGAACACAGAAGCAAATGTTTCTTCTTATAAGCTTCTGTTGCTAGGTTACCCGGCCTAATACAGAATAAGAAAATTGCTGAGAGGGTAGGAGCAAATTTCTGCAGCTCCTTGGGACATGAAGATGAATGAGAATATTGACATGTAACGGACTAGCGATTATACTTGAAATGTTACGGCCAAACAAAATCACTAAACAGATAAAGAATGCACTTTATTTGCCTTTCTCATCTCTAAGTTGTTCTTTCATTTCATTTTCAGGCAGGGAAATACTTAGTTTCTAGGCATGAACAAGACAGTACTCTTACCTATCCTCTCCCCGATATGCCTTCTTGCAAGACCATGGAGCACTCTAGGCCAGTTTGGCCTTGAAAAGTGTGTACGAACCTACAAATTAAACAATTGTGTTTAAAATTTCACATTCTACAACCAACACTTATTTAGCAACATGTGGTTCAGAACCAAAGATATTAGGCACATATATGACACTTGTGTCATGCGTAGTTGCCTTGGAAAGTAGATACACTTACCGGAGTTTTAGAGATGATATCAATGCCATGGCGTGCAAAATGAAGTGCTTGAATCGCACTTATTAGCATCGACCGCTTATCGCCTTCTTGGTAGACACTTGTCAGATAGTTATACATTTCTATCACACCCTACAAGCACATTATTGACATCTTAAGAACACATCATATGTAGTGACGTGGTCACATGGAGTACTATTTCTGAAGAAGATATGGTCGCTTTTTAATTAAAGTGGTTATAAAAGTGAACCTGCTTGCTATCTAGAACTGAAACCTCTTTCATGATATCCCTGAACCACTCAAAGGATCCCTGCTCTCTTGTCACCCAATAAAAGTAGGCCTTCTTCAGTCGGTCGGAGTGATAATTTAGGCTGCCATGTCCCTGAGATAGTTTCAGATAATAAATATGATAAATTTTCAGCTGATAGAAATATATATGAAATTACATATCGTGAAGGTACAGTCATTGCCTTATCTAATCCATTGGCAATGTCTTTAAGAACACTTATGAAAGGCGTTGCTCCTATTCCAAGTCCAATTAACAAGATAATTTCATATTTGGAGTGATCCTGTGATGCTGCACCATAGGGACCATCAAATAATATTTTGGGCAGCCTGGAGTTGCTGGAAAGCGGCGCCTACAAACCTCAAAACATATCTTTTAAGTATCACTGTAAACTTTCAAATAATAGCATGATGAATAATTATTGTTTCAAGAGTGTTTGAGAAAAAAAATAGTTGCTTCATTCAAGAGTGGATAAAGAACTGGTGCTTTACCTGTTGGAAGACATTATACATTTGGTAGCTCCAATCACCAAGAGATCTTATGTGGATGCTCAAGTGTTCATCATCTGGAGCAGATGTAAGGGAAAATGGGTGCCTGAGACAATTGGATAAAGTAAATCTAGAATTAGTAGAGGTAAGAAGGATGCACTTCATTCAAGTGACAGCAGGAAATTAACTAAAAATTGGTGCAGCACAGCATTTGTTGACTATATAATTAATAGCGGCCTTCTCACCATTCAAACTTTGATACTTCTGGACATTGGACAAACACATACATTCCACTTCGATATCGAAAACCTGGTGGCTTTGTCACCTTGAGTGCAAGTACCTTCCCTGGATAAGTTGTTGCCTGTAAAGGAACAGAAAACGAAAAAACAAAACTAAGATTGAAAGTTGACATAACAGCTCATATTTTCATTGAAAAGAATACAGTATTTGTTGCAGATTATCACACGTTGAGGATCTTGACATCAAACACCATAGATCTGACCATCCTGAAAATTCGTTCTCCAACGTAGATCACCACAGGAATTGCGACATACATCCATGTCTGATACAGGCATTTTGTGGCAATAAGAGGGACATAAACATACTAAACTTGCTTTATTTATTTAATGAGCAGTAGTATATTACCGTCTTCTCTGCGACATCCTTTGCTAGGAAGAGGAACATGGAATGCACAATGAGGAGAACATAGACAGCGATGAACACATGGTGTGAGTACCAGAAGGAATTGAACCCAGCAAACTGTCTGACTAGAGGCGGCAGCGTTTCTGGATTCCTTCTCCAAGGACTACTAGCAAGCAAGAATGCGATCAACATTAGGACCACCATTGCTATACCAGTTGTCCCCTCGGTTGATGCCACTATCTCCAGGTAGGATGGCTGGTGGTACCCAAAGTCAGCAGCAATTGTACGTCCAAAGAAGGTCTTGTCTGCCCTTGCAATCCTTGGGAAGTCACATGCCAGGTGGATGCCTCCATGAAGGATTATACCGACCACAATTCCCGCCGCAACAAGCTAAACTAAAAGATGAGCGTTAAACTCAGTCCATCAGACCAGTAAAGCATGACACAACACAGTTGAAAAAGGATCACACACACACCTTGTGGAAGTTAATGTTGTCATTAAATGGGATGACCGAGTTGATAACACGGCTTCTCCTGAGCCAAGTGACTGTGTTGCGGCAAACAGGTAGGAGCACAATGGCCATGTTGAGCTTGAGCGTCTCTGCAGCCCCCTTGGCTGTCGACAGGCAGTACCCCATTACCTCGAAAGCCAACCGCTGTCTATACTGCATGAACTTCCATGTGAAGAGTGCAGCACATGCCATGAGCCACAAGAAAACCACAAATATACGCCTCCACTGAGCTTGGAAGAAGACTATGGTTGCAGTTAGTATCTGTTGGCTGTATTTCATTGGCATTGGTATTGCCCAGCAAGTTGGTTGGAGATCCCTTGACAGGCCCTTCCTCATGACATTCATCTGTAAATTGGATTTGAATTACTAGGAGATACACGTCTAAATCTGCTATTACCAAGTTCCAAACTTTTGTATATGCCATCAATTGTGTTTACTAACATGGGGTTCTGTACCGACATAGTGATGATAGTAGCATAAATATACATGGTTATGCATGAAGAACTGTTTGTTTTAAATTACTAGGAAATCACCTGGATGACTCCTTGGCCTGTCTGGAGCTCTTCTAGGATCAAGTTTGTGTATTCAGTGGCCTCATCTTGGTTTAATGTGATCTTGTTCAAAGAGGCACTGAACATAATTGCCTGGTAAATTACAAGCACATAAGGAGACGTGTTAGGCTCACAACAATAACAAGTAAATTTTCATCATAGATGACTTCTACCTGCTTAATATCCTTTTCTGTGATTCTGCTAATTGAGTTTCTCTCGCAGCTGCAAAGATATGCTTGTGTAAACATTTCTGGTTGATCAGCGTACTGTAAAGAGTTGGGGATCACAGTTCAGGAAGAATACCTGTCCATTGCTATTCTGATGCCATGACTAGGAGATCGACCGATCGATCTACTGGAGTTGATATTTAGATTGACCGGAAGAGGATATATGGTTGAACTGTTATTTCTAGATTCATTCTCACCTACAGGAGCAAGTAAATTGTTTGAAGATCAAATAAAAACAGGCTTTTGTAATTCCTGAGAACCTCAAACTATTGAATATTCTCTTGTTGATTTTTCAAAACCTGTATGGCAGGTTATATATAACAGCAATCACGTTTAAGTTGGAATTATTTGTTTTTTGAATTGGGATCCTTTAAGTGTTTCCATGTAGATATGCTAATAAGGCATCATAGAAACAATAATCAGATATGAAATGAAAGATCCCAATGCATAATGCCCCCAACTTTTGCAGGAAATCAAACGCAGCAAAGTACAATCAAAAGTTTCACTAAGATTATTTAGCACTTCATTTTGTTAAATCGGGGGTTGAATCGTCTCCCACATTTAGCACCTCCAACCTTTGATTTATCAAGTTGAGTTGCCTGATTTTCCCAATGCCAGCTGCCACAGTTAAGCATGCGCACTCTCATCCCGCCCCTGCTCCACCTACCTATTGCCGGAGAGAGGGCCGCCGCCCCAGCTCGATGCCAACAACCCTCCCTAGACCCAGCAGTAGCCGCCACTTCCTCGAAGGCCGGTCCCTAGTCACGCTCATCGTCGTCAACGTCGAGGAGAGGGATGGCGCGACGATAGGGAGAGGGGGCAGCAGCCAGCGACTCGGTGCTTGACCCTAGCGACGGCAGTGGCAATCTTCGTCACGCGCAACATCAAGATTGGGGATTTCGCGACGGTGGCTACAGGCTCTAGGCGCACCCAGCGCCGACACATGCGCCCTCGCCTCCTCTATCCATGGCGAACAACGGCGCTGGTAGTCCGTGTATCGGCGGTGCTCTCGAGTCGTCGGTGAGGAGAAGGTCGAAAGTGTGGGACCGCGGCCGCGAACCAGTCGAGGGTTGGGCCCAGTTTACTTGCCAAATTTTTTGGCAAAACGCTACTGTAGCGTTTTCGTTGTTATTTGGCAATTAGTGTTTAATTATAGTCTAATTAGACTTAAAAGATTCATCTCGTGGATTTCGTCTAAACTGTGTAATTATTTTTATTTTTTATTTATATTTAATGCTTCATGCATGCGTCCAAAGATTCGATGTGACGGAAAATCTTGAAAAATTTGACGTTTTAGAGGGGAACTAAACAGGCCCTTGGGTGCAGAGAAGGCGAAGTGGATAGTGGCGTCGAAGTGTCAAACATGAAACACCATGAGTGGCGGCGCAATGGCAGGCGACGGCGGCACTTAGCGATACAAGCGAGAGAGAGAAGGCATCAGGGCGGAATTGTCTACTCCCTCCTTAAAAAAATGCAATTATAAGTTTTAGATAAATCAATTTTTTTAGATTTAGTCAATTTTATAGAAAAAAATATCAACATTTGTGTCACCAATTAGTTTTATTATGAAAATATATTATATAATTTGGAAGTGCCCTGACTTGGAAGTCTCCTTTCCAGACACAGTGCGGGTCCACTCCGCTTCCTCCCCGTCGCTTGGCTAGTACTCCTACCAGAGAGTATGAGTAGTATATACTGTATTTATATTAAAAAAAGAGTTAAATGCACCAGAGGTGCATAAACTTGTATAGGTGTTTCCATTGGTCCATCAACTTCAAAAGTGGATTTCTAGGTCCATAAACTTTTAAAGTTGTTCAACATAGGTCTATACTCCTCCACATATGCATCATATGCTGACGTGTCGTGCCACATGTGCGTCTTCCCTCTCATGTCCCTCTTCTTTTCCCTCTCCCACTCAGTCTCTCGGACACATTTCATCGAGCAGGTCCTGGGTGACGTTGAGCTCGCGCACGCCACGATCCTCATGCCCATTTCCACCAGCCACTTCAACTGCTTGTCTGCATGTCGTCGACACCTAGGTGCAGGCTCATGAGTAAATGCAGCAGCAGTAGTGTCATGATGGCGTTGACACGCAACGCCCAAGCGAGTGCGAGTTCCTCTGAAAAGTGAAAATGCGCCAAGGTCATCCTTGCCGGCAGTCGGCATGCAGGACAACGTCGGCCGCGCCATGGCCGCCGGCTCGACCTGGACGCGGCCTACAACCTTTGCGAGGTGGTGAACTACACCATGAACAAAGGTCGAGATGATGGAGCGAGCAATGTTGGAGACTTGGAGTGCGCAGCGGAGGTGATCTCACCGTTCAACAATAGCTATCGACTGAACAATGAGGTGTTCCTGGCTCAGCCAGAGCTTCAGTTCACTGGCTTCTCCTCCATCAACAATGCACGCGTCCCAGGCATGCAGTACATACCGACCAAGGCCAAGGCCAATGAAAACGTGAAGATATTTTGTGTAACACATAATTAACTTCATTAGTCCAAATCTGCTACGGAGTAATATATGAGTTATAACATATGACACGCGTGTGGTGGCCTCCCTGAAGCACGCCATGCATCGGTGCATGTCATGTTGTACCCAGATGCCGACTCCATTCATTCTCTACATGAGCGCATCCTGTATAGGTATATCCAAAGCCACTGTCCTCGGCGTGCACGCATAGTACGGGAGGTGGCTGAGGAGCTAGCTGCTAACGTGCTCGGGCGTGCGCATCAACACCATCAGGCCGAACGCCATCGCGATGCCACCACTATTGGCTACTACGCTCGCTCGCGGGGCTGCACCCAGGTGTCCATAATGAGCAGGTGAAGCATGTGTCTAGTGGAAACAGACATACTAAGGAAAGAGAGGCGTACTGCAAGCTCGACGTCGCTCAAGACCTGCTCAATGAAATGTTTAAGAGAGCTGAGGGAGAGAAAAAAGGGAGAGACATGAGAGAGAAGACGCACACAGCACACGTGGCACACCATCTCAGCATAAGATGCATATGTGGAAGGGTATGAACCTATGGTGTACAACTTTAAAAGTTTAGGGACCTAGAAATCCACTTTTAAAGTTAATGGACCTAATTGAAACACCCATATAAGTTTATGGACCTTTGGTGCATTTAACTCTTAAAAAAGAATCACTAATCCTTCTTCTCTCTTCGTCTTCATCTGTGCAAACTAGGTAGCAGCTGGAGCGCACCTCCTATCAGCGCCTCCTCCGTCCTTTCCGCTTCCTCCTCCCCCCCCCACAGCACCTTGCGGCTGCCCGCGCCGGCACCTCTTCATCCCTGCCGCTTCCTCCGCCCCACCTAGCGTCGTGCCCCGAGCTCGTCGCTGGAGCCCGCCACTTTTTGTTCATCTTCACCATGGGCTGCAATCCTACTGCTAGTACTTCAGTACAGTGAGGGACGGCCTAGGAGATGGCGCTCCTCGTGAGGCCCCTCTGGGCGGCGGCCCTCCTCGGCCTCGACGTTGCCACTCCAGTGCTTCCGCGTAGGGCAGCCTCCATCCACTCCCTGTCCTCCTCGCCGATCTATACCGCAGTTCCCCACCAGGTAGGTCGTGGCCGCATGGCGAACACTATGTTTCAGGTGTTTTGACTTTTGTTTCAAATATTTCATCTAGATGTTGCAAAAGTAGATCTGAATGTTGCATATGTTTTCAAGTGTTTAAGACGTTTCAGCTTTTGTTTCAAGATCTAGATGTTGCAAAAGTAGATCTGGATGTTCCATATGTTGCAATGACAAAATACGCATGTTGCAAGACTATGTTTCAAGTGTTTTAGGTGTTTCAGACGTATGTTGCGTCGTTTCATTCGAATGTTTCAAAAGTAGATCTTAGTGTTCACATGTTGCAAATGGCTACCCATGCATGTTTCAATCGCATGTTTCAAGTGTTTATGTTAGACGTATGTTGCAAATGTTTTATTTGGATGTTTCAAAAGTAGATTGGATGTTCCACATGCTGCAATGGCGCCGGTGGCCGGCAGACAGCGTTCTGTTGTAGGGCTTCAGCTCATACCTCATGCGTTCCTCGCGCGGTGCGCCTCGCCCTCTCCTCTCCTCTCCCTCCCCTCCCTTCCTTCCATCTCGCCATGGCAGTTCGAGCTCGGCCGACGAGCGCGTGGACGTTGGGTAGGTGCAGTAGTAGGCGCAGGGCAAGGCGGGGCAGGAGGGCAGGTGCAGTAGGCCGGGGAGGCGCCACAACCTGCGTAGGTGGCGGGGTAGGCACGGGCGTCCGGACGGAATACCATATATAATTAATCTAATAGTACTTATTTGATATAATTAATGTTTATAATTTTTTTCTTTGGAAAGTGAGAATTATATATTTTTTTAATGGAGACTGAGGTAGTAGTTACAGTTTCTGTAAAAAAGAAAGAAATTGAGAAAATTGAAGAAGAGGGAAGAAAAACAATTATAAACAGAAGAATTCCATTGAATGTCAAATTGCATAAGGCATGCGGATTGAGTTCCAAATATTGAAACCCCTTCTAAAGCATATCCTCCACCATAATAATGAGTAAAGAGATATTGGGGCAGCCCCATTATCGTTCACTATTTGAGATATCATGTTGGGGATTTGTTGGAGATACTCCTATACCTCTTCAATTAACCCTCCTAGATGATTAGACTCAGCCTTACCAAATTAGCTAGATCCACCGTGACACGCTTCTTTACTTCAGCATGAATATTAAGCGCACCCATGAAAAAAAAATAGCGAGCTATAGCGGCGGGAGAGACTTGACACTAAGCTATTTCTATTTATGCCGCTATACCAACTTTGACCGCTATAGCGCCGCTAAGTTGCATAGCTTTAGCGTTCAAATATAGCAACGCTATTTCAGATTTTGCCAACAGACCATATCAGTGACAATTTAATTAGTTATTTCCTACTTATCATTTGCTACTAATTTGGTATTTTGGACAATTAAACACTGAAGTTTCATAAACTATTTTGTAATGTCATATTGGTAATGTTACCTAGACTTTGTGTTCAACGAATTTCATATTGACATGTTTTTTACATCAATTACTAGTGTTTTTCATGTTTTTTTTATAAAAACGCTATATATCGTAGCATCGCTATAGCTTCATAGCTGCTGAAAAAAAGTTGTCGCTATTTCCAATAGCCCGCTATTTAAAACCTTGAGTGCACCACACAACTAGTTAAACAGCTTATTGGTGAGCTTCGTCATTGTCACGCGCTCAAACACATCACTCTTTTGTGTAGAATGCAATGCATCTGTGGATGTAAGTGAGTAGCTAATAATTTTCTTATTTTCATGTGTAAATACGTCTAAAGAAACCAAAGAAACAGGAGAAGCAAATCAGCAAGCAAGCCACAGAAAACGAACGTTAAAAAAAGGGCTTGTCCTGCGGCCAAAAGAACTAACCAGAGTTACTCCACGACATCGACGTGAACTGAAGAGCTCCTCCCTCCAAACCACTCCACCTCAGCTCCCCCGTGCTGTCGCGTTGGATGAACTCCTCCATCGACCTCAGCGACTGCGCTCGCAGCAGCCTTGACCTCCCGGCTTCCATATCCAGCTCACCGTCGCTGCATCCATGGAAAGACGTGCTGCGCGAGCACACAGCCGGCGAAGTCGTCGTCGTCGTGGAGTTGTCATCGTCGTCCCCCTGGAAGAGCACCTGGATCTCAATGTCCGATGAACTCCCATGAGACGAACTCGTCGACGGGCAGGCGCTCAGGGACGCGGCCACCGCGTCGCCGTCGCCAACAACAACGTTGGACACGAACTGTATGGAAGGACTGCGGACCGCCGGCCGGACTGGAGAAGTGCCTGAAAATCCAGACTCAGACAGTGGTGACAAACTTGGTTGCATGGTAGGGTTCTTTGAGCAGGAGTTGGGTTCATGGGAGGATGCCATTATGATTTGGAATGCACACGATGTGCCGAAGCCAACACAGTTTCTAACAATGGTTGATGTCTGTGCTACTTTAAGGGTTTAGATTTGTGCAAGAGTACAAGCAGGGCTGGTCATCTTTCAGTGGTGGTGTGGTTGGATTATTTGGTAGGCCGGGAGAGGGTGCGATGGTGAGGCGAAGGTGGAGTTAGGAATTGACTCGTGATCATGCTATGTGATACCTTTTGGTTGGCTCAAGCTCATCATTGGATCGTCCCATGTCAAGGGCATCATCATCTGGTGCTGATGATTGTTGATCTGTGAATGAATGAATTAGCGTTCTCCGTGCGGGCTCTGGACTCTGGTTCAGAGTTCGGTGGGTCGTCATTCTAGCCTAGTGCATCATGACAACGATAAAATGCATGCTTGACATACAAATCTGTAAGAACCCTGGTGGTTCAATTGAGCAGACGCTCGTGAAAATCCATTTTCAGGAATGGCTACCCTGAAATATATATTTTAATTTTTTTAAGTTTCCTGCCATATTTGAATTTTTATTTACCTGTTAAGTTCACGCTCTCGTGCCTACTATGATAGAAGAGGATCAGAGAGGAGAGAAAAGGATCAGAGAGGAGAGAAGATTAGTGGAGAGGGTGAAGAGGATTGCTCTCAGTTTATATTTATATTTTATAAGGGCCTTACACTTGAAAATCTTGCATTGAGTGATGTAGTTTCTACCAAAGGAGTCTTACTGCATAGAAACTACTGTTGCTTTCTAAATTGGAACTACGCTTATGCACTAGTACTAGGTAACGCGCAGACAAATAGGATCATTCATGGGCCGATAGAAAGAACTTGTTTTCTCTCTCCTTGCATCTGGATTTGTTGAGTGGTTCGAACTTCCAAGTTAGAACAACTTCAACAGATGGGATACCATCCCTGTCTTGGTAGAAGTAGAATAGAATTGAGTGGCCGCATTCAAGGGTCTAAAAGAAGTTACTGGGCTCTTCATTGTACATTAGAACAGGGAGGGTAGATCTCTACAAGAAAAAGTAATTTTTATCACTTGAACTACCGCCAAGTTTATATTTTCTTCTCAAACTTCAAAACAGGACAAAATCATCGATTAACTATCTCAAAATCATTTAAATTACCTCACTGTCTTAGTTTTAATTAAAAATTTTGGTAAACACATGAAAAAGTTTTTTTTACCACAAAAAAAATTCTAAGCTTCTAATAACTTTGAGAAAAATTTAAGATGTAGATTGGGACACATAAAACCAAATAAGATATGTAGAACTCATGAAAATATTTGTAGAAGCTTTCAAAATTGGATTTAGCTCTTGAAAAATGGAAAAAATATCCTAAAAATCTAGAAAAAAAATCCTAAAACATTGTTGTTGTTCTAGGCCTTAGCCTTCGAACACCGGGTTGTCGCGTGAGCGAACCAACAGGACGAATAGCGGAACGAAGTCGCGTGAGCGAGACGCAAATAGTTCATTTGTTATTTCATTAGTCTCTCTTCTTTACAATCCCCAGCCTCGGGGGCGGGGGCTATTTATACATGCCCGTAGGCTTTTTTTAGACAATAATGCCCCTTCAACCACTACATATTCGGGGTATATTCCCGCCTACCCTAGACCTATTCTGCCTTTTGGGGATGTCGCCTGCCCTGGAAAACGCCGGCCCTCAGGTCATCAGCTAATCCCGCACCGGGCCGCCGCTCCGCCGACCGAGCGGGCTCGGTGAACTGGCGCTGTCGGCGTATTGTCTCCCGGCGAACTCCTCTCCAAGCGAAAACCTGCAAGATCAGTCATTTGGACTAGCGTTAACTATCCGCCTGGGCGAATGGTCTAGACCACTTTGTCACCTTCGCCAACCCATCGCGGAGCGGCTCCCGCCGAGCCGAAACAACTATTCGCTGGGCTAAAAGCACGTGCGTGGCTTGGCGCGTTGCAGTGGTTTCGGTGGCGGCGTTCCTTGGACCGCTATTCGCCATGGCAAAACGATGCCCCGCTCGTCTGCCCCTTTCGACCTAGAGAAGAGGACATACCTCGTAACTGAGTTGCGATGACAATTCGTCGCGGCGAAGTGATGGCGGCTCTGGGCGAACGGAGAGCGGCCGGACAGTCTGACGAAAACATGGTTGCCACCCCCGGGTCCTCCCTGCCGGCCCACTTCTTGTCATTTCGCCGTAGCGAAATGTTGGCCACACATTGGAGGACGGCGTCAGAGCCCGGGGGGTGCCCGCAGAGTGGGGCTGCCCCCAACATTAGTACCTTGGCATCGCTTGAAAAGCCTCCGCCTTTCGCACGGATGACAAATTTGGCGGGAGCAGGAACTCATCGCGGGGCTCTCACGGCGTCCCCGGCGAAGGGGGGAGTCCTGACGTGGTTTAATTTTGACTTGTTTCAATTTTTGATTGGCTGATTGTTTATATTTTATTTCCTATTTTTTATTTTTTTGTGGTTAACTGTTTCTATTTTTTTTGGTTTGCGTGCCGCAGTTACGTTTCGCGGGAGATGAAGCGTCACGACGGTTATGCGAACCATTGCGATGCTCCCTCGAGGCGCGTGCTGGCATGTTGGTGCCTATATAAGGCCCCCCATGGGGGGAGGAATCGTGCGCTCCCTTCCTTATCCGGTTTCCAGCGGAAGACACCCCTTCGGCCATCGTCTTTCGCCTAGTTTGGGTTGGGCTCCTATTCACGTGCTTCAGGGCTCCACTCTTCGCACGGTTCGCACAGTTGAGTTCTATTTCTGCTTTTTATTTATCTCATTTCGGCACATGCTTGTGCGGCTTATTATTTTCTTTTTTCTTCTTTCGCTTCTTTACTATTTTCGCTTGGAACTTTTCATTTGTACTGCGTTTGGATAGATGTCAAGCGAGTCAACGTCGGGCGACAGCTCGTCCAGCGGGAGCTCATCTGGATGTTCTAGCTCTGAATCGCGCACCAGTTCGCTCATTTGAGGGAAGAAAATGGTGGTTGATCTACTGAGCGTGGGGAGTGTTGGTTTGGCATCGGGTGCCGTTGTGGGCGGTGATGGTCTTTAGCCCAATCAGGCAGCCGATGGTACCACCACGGATGTGGAAATTCTGGAGGAGGGCGAAGAGGCCAAGACCCCTGGTCCTGTGCCGTCTGGTGCGCCAGGAGAGCCGAAGCTCATGCCCGCCACCTAGCGGCTAGGCCGATCTTGGGTGATGGAGTGTCGACGTAAAAACATGTCGATGCGCCGAGCACTCAGCAAGCCGGAAGGATATGCTTGACGGAGTAAGGCTGGAGATCCGCTTGGCTTCAACGTAGGACCAGTCGACCCTACAAATTCCTCTCGAGGGCGTGCCAGTCAATTTGACCTGCAATTGACAAGGAGAGAAAGTTCATCAGTAATTTAAGGTGGAACATGATGGTCTTTACCCAGATAGTTTCAAGTATGCCGCTTCGGGAGCAGCCAGTGTTAGCCCACTGGATCTTCAACACGGAGATGTCCGACCACTCATTAATATTGCCGAGCACGCACTAGTGATGCCGACCACGAACTAACGTTGTCCTCCCTCTAGTCATAGTGTGTGGTCGAACAACGTTAGTCGTGGTCGGCAGCGCTTGTGAGTGATCGGCAACACTGGTGATCCAGTGGGCCAACAGCTAGACGGAAAAAATCGATCGAATAGCCGACACGAGAAGAAAATCGGCTGTTAAGGACTGTAACACTCGCAGGTTGTGATTATTTTTATGATGACGAATATGGTGCACATAGATGTAAGTAAAATCATCAGCTAGACAAAATATAACCAGTATGAAGCATTGAGCCGATGAGTCTAACGAGAAAGGATATAACATGCAAACAAATCAACTGTCTAATACGAACAATTCTACAAACGCTCCGAATCTAATTCGCTATCATCAACAGTGAGGTTCGACCGGATCGATGCAGTTATGATGATAACAGCAAACTAAAGCCAAAGAATTCTCAAAACCATCCATACCTTGACATGTTTATGAAAGACACGCTATATCTGTGAAGGCGCAGGCGAATTGGCTAAAAGAGCCGATTCCAATAGAAAAAGGGTCACAACATGTGAACAATCGACTATTCCACACGAGTAGACCTATCAACTCCTCAAACCTAACCTGTCATCTTTAACAGTGGGGTTCGACCGGATCGATGGTAGCCATAATAAAGATAATAGATTAAATTTTTAAAGAAAACGAATCTACTTATATTTAATAGGATCATGAAGACATACTATGAGCATTAGAGCGTAGGCGATCGGCTATTTAGCCGATGTAGGCATAGCAAACAGCTAAGGTCATGCTTGATCAGAAACAAATCTACCAACTAACATCCTCCAATCTAAAGTGCCATTAGTGAGGATCGATCAGATCGTTGCAGCCATAATAGCGAACTATAGACCAAATTTAACTAGCCAGCAAACCTCTTCAAGATCATACGTGCCTTAACTGCGTACTATGCGCAATCAAGATCGAGATAGAACAGCCAATAAAACGTAACCCGTCACTCAAAGTAAGAAATATCGTATTGTCACAAAGCAAACGACGGACTAAGAGGATATGAGGCTGATCTAGTTCGATCTTGATCGGGCAGGTTGATGTTGCTGAAAAACTATTGACAGTAAAAACATCAGCAAGATCGATAACTTAATGAATCTACCCGAAGGACGTCACCCTTAGATAGAGCCGATAACTTGACCTTAATCTAATTTGAGCAGTGGAGGTCGAACTTAACCGACGCAGCCGTACTTGAACTAGATAAAGATCGGTAACTAGCTTATACTAGAGCTCGCAGTGGAGGTCGAACTTAACCGATGCAGCCTTATAAACCAAAGTATGAGCCATGACGGTACTTGTAATATCTTAAAATTTGCATTCTTTTAAAATTAGTAAATATGATTTATTTAAGCAAATGTGTGTGCATTAAAAGATAGGGAAATAATAAATTTTGTGGAATTAAAATTTAAAAATAAGGATAGAAACATTTTGATGCATACATGTTGCTGCATATCAT